CAGAATTTTTATCCCTCGAGTATTAAAAAATATGTCAAAATTTACATTCTAACACGAAGAGAAGACGACTAAGAAATCTTTTGGATTAAGTTTCTTTTATTCCTTAAAAAACTGTTAAAAAAAAGGTAGGAGTGTTCTTTACAAAGTACAAACCGGCGAACGATACTAACTCTAATTCTGTACAAGAATACTCTGTACAAAGTCAATTGTAACGTGCTGGACTTTTCATATTACACAATTAATTCCACAACGTGCACTTGTGCCGTCGATTCATCGAGCTGCTTCTCGGACATCTGAAGGTTTTGGAGAATGAGGCCATGTTCGAGAGAGAGCCTATAATGCGATACTTGGCAGGACTGTGTTCATCGCTGTTGATTACATCTGCCTCGTATTCCGGTCTGGTCGACGAGCACCAGGACTATAAAACGGAATCGTGATAATCAGTCGAGGAAAATTTTATCTGATACTTGTTGAGAGATACAATTAACACTCGATGATGGTAACGTGGGCAAATAATTCAACGTAGAGTTGATTTCTCTGTTAGAAGTTTTATGTTAACTGGCGTTTAACTTTCAAAATGTTTTTATTGAAAAAATATCACGAAACTTCCTAAACACTTTCGATAATTCCGAGAGAACTGATTTCGAGGAATTGTCACAAATTGTCACATTCTTGTAGTAACTCACGTTTGCGAAAGATAAGAAGAAAAGCTCGTCGTGGGAGATATCCTCGAGACCAGGTAATTTCGTTTGTAGCTTTTGTTTCGCTGCTCTTTTGTAAGCTGAATATGCTATTTGTACACCAATCGAGTCCGCTATATTCTCATCTTCGGTCAAATGTCCATCCAACTGTACACAAAGACAGCTCGTTAATACCCATTTCTTTTTTGCTCGTAGAAAAAACAAATTTTGCCAACGTCAGATATATTTTTGTTCGAACCGACACGCGAAGTAAGAGTAAATTCTTCGTGGTCCGGTACACACAGAGAGTTACGTAGCCAAGGTGAGTAATTTTCCAACAGGATGATTCAGATGGTTTTGCTCGATTAAAAAGTGTTCGAAACCATGTGAAAATTTAGCTCGAAGCGTTAATGAAACTGCTCACCTTAACATGCTTTCCATATTCGTCCGTGATATCGAGCGTATAATTGCCATACTGCTCGACAAAGCACATTGCTCGTTCCTCGTATTCGTACGACGCCGGCTGCGAGGTCCATGAAATTCTGTAGCCTTCTTTGTCGAACTGTATTCCTGGGGGAATTCGAGGAAATTAGATGTCAAATTTGTGAACGTAATCAAAATTTAGAAAATTAGAGGAGATTTTTTTACCTTCGTTGTCGAAGCCGTGGGACAACTCGTGTCCAATTACGAATCCGGTTGTTCCATAATTGACAACGCTGATTAAATGTAGATTTGACAAATTTAATCTTCGTAATCGCAAAAATTGTGTTTGGAATACGATAATTAACTAAATTGAAATTTAAGGGACTTACTCTGGTAGAAGTGGTGTGAAATATGGATCTTGAAGTTCAGCTGCTGGTATGACTAGAAATGAAGTAATGATCGATAAAAAAATATAGTTTAACAGAGAAGTCGATTTTCTGTTTTAATGAAAATGACTATTTTTCTACGAGAATAAATGTGAAATATATTTAATGTTCTATTTTCAGTAATACTTACGTATCGCGTTGACTGTTTGTGCGTAGAACGCGTTAACTGTGATAGGATAATCCAACCACCTGAAAATTAGTACGATTAAAGATAAGAATAGAATTTTAAATTCTAAACTCAACAAGCGATCACAATCTTTTGAGGGAAACTCACTGTTTTTTCACAACAACATCCTTAAACTCTTTCAAACTTCTTACTAATTCGTATTCTTGGCAATTCATGATATTTTGGAAGTAATCTGAACCTATGCGCAACTGTGAACAGTTTATAACATATTTATACGAATTTGTACTTTTTAGAAATTTATCTTTTATTTTTCTTCAAGTAGCTTAAAATCGATCTACCCCTTCGTGATATCGAGTAACAGCCTTGTCGTCTTTGTACCAATCTGGATATCCAATTTGAGTTTCGAGGTTCTCCAATTTTTGTGTCAGCGTTTCTTTCATAGATCTCGGTAGCCAATGAGCCTGTTCTATTCGATGCTTCAGCTCTTCCTTTATCTTTCGAACCATTCTTATCGCCTTGAAAGAAACATGGTGGGATAAAAAAGAAATACCTTTTTCACTTGAAATTAATTTGGAAAGAATGTTCTACCTCGTGAATAACATTATCCGTCATATATTTCTTAACAAACATGTAGGAGACTGCGTTTTGTATTTTCATATTGTGCACACAGACTTGCCATCTACGAATCAATTAAACATTTCCTTTTTCGTAAGACATTCCAAGTAAAAGTTTGATAACAATTAAGTACTTAATTTTGAAGAACTCAAACGTTCCCTATATTGTATATTTTTTAACCCTTTCGTCAATAAGGAGAAGCTTATGTTCCACTTGTCAATTTAGTATCGATTAGAGACGCGATAGATAAATAATGGATTTCTCAGAAAAATAATTCTGTCACGAAAGGGTTAAGCGAGGAAACAACATTCAATCAGTGGTCCAAAAAGAATAATAAATTTAAATTAAATTTATCAATGTAAAATTAAATTTAATAAAATAAAAAAAATGGGACGCTTATGTTCCACTTGAGCACTCGAACATAAATTAATCTCAATTCAGCATCGATTAGAGATGCAACGATCGACGGGTAAATAACAGATTTAAAAAAGAAAAATTCAGTCACGAAAGGGTTAGACGAGAAAATAAATTTCGATCAGTGGTCCAAAAAGAATAACGCACATTTCTCGAAATAAAAACAATTTGCAATATTTCGCGATAGTGATACGATAAAAGAAATAAATAACGACATAGACGGTACCGTGGTGTGTAATTGGAAATATTGTACGACGAGAAGGATATATTGAACTTGATGTCTCTCATCTCCTCCGTGGTGAACAACAGGAATTTGTCCACCATGTTCCATTGGATGTAGTTTACTGGAAAACGGAGGAAACCATAAAACGTGAAACGGTGACGTTGCGGAAAATGTGTCCAAAGAAAATCTTAAGTGAACGAGTAATCATAGTGCGATCAGGGAAATAGCAAAGAGCAACGGTTAACGTAAATTGGTACGGTACGAGTAGGGGAATTTATGCAATTACGGTATTACCTAGCACACGTCTTGAGGTGTTTGCAAGTAGCCTCGCCAGCTTATGAAGGAACTCGGGATTATACACTATAATGTGTTCAGACGAGTTCACGTTGATATCAGCCAGCTTAAATGCGTGTTGTACCACTTCCAAGAAGTCTATCTGTAAATTTTCTCAGTGAAACTACTACCGTCCGTCGTGTATTGTCAATGCGTCACTATAATTGCTGTCTACGAATATGCAATTGAAACTTGAGAACAAAAATTGTAACTTGGGAACAAAAGGTGTACAGCAATTATTTTTTCAGTATCGTCTAATAACGAATTACGTCAATTTTATTTAAGAAACTATGCGTTAGATTAGCATTGATGATTTAGGAAACAACACTTGTCGATTTTAACGCTAAATAGAGCAGAAAGTGTTAACAGGCGAAGGTTCTAAGATGATTGGTTTCTGACTAATATAATTAATGTTGGTAGAAAATAAGAACGTTGAAATAATAAACTTTACCATTGCAGAAGGCGAAGTAATACCGGAATTTTCGTACCATCTCTGTAATTGCTTAATTGTCATTCTTTCGTAATTATTGCTGACCGTGTGCACTTCCTTTCCATTTTCGATAATCTGAAACAAGTGGTTAATGCCTATATTCGTTATACGATAAATTATTGTTTATTTTTCTATTTCATTTGGTATCTATTATTTCTAACTAAGATAGGAAGAGTAATTACTTGCAATAATTCAATCTCGAAATACATCATTTTCGATATATCAGTGGCCAATTGGTGACGATCTAAAGTATACCCTTTTTCTCTCGCGAAAGCTTGAACTACGTGATAAATACCACGAGAGTACGTGTCGTTATCGTAGAACACTTTGTTTATATCCCGTTTACTTGCTAAAGGGTAGTCGGTGTCTTGATCTATCTGCAATAGAAATTGATCCGATCTATAAAAATTTCAGAGATCCTTAAAAATCTCGACTTTACTCGTTTCGTTCATTTTCGACTTGGATCGATGAAATATTTGCTCTAACGATTTGCTTACTGTTAACACGTATCGCCGCGTATTATTCAAATCGATTTCGTATTCGAGATTGTAGAAAGCACTGTTCCCTATCAATCTGACATAATGTTTATCGATGGTTTGCCACGGTACACTGTCAGGATCCCACTTGCCTACTGGCACTGCCATCGGCCAGCCGCCATTGTCGTCCAGGATTTCCTGGATCGGCCTGATGCCTCTCCTTTCGATCGCTCCTGTTGCAAGATTTTTAGGAAATTCTGCATAAATCTTTGCACTTTGATGGTAAAAATGATTTCAGGAATACTGTGCAATTATATTCGTAATTATTTGGACAATAATGAAGTTTAAGTTTATCCTCTGGATCAATTTTTCTTTCAGTGAAAAAATTTTCCGAACTATTCCAGAGATATTGTGCAATTAGATTCAGGATTATTCGAACGATAACGAAGTTTAAGAGATTCCTCTGGATCAATTTTTCTTTAGGTAAAAATGTTTCGTTATTTCCAGAGAAATTGTTGACAAATTTTTGGTACTTTCGTATGGTAACAATAAGAAGAGAGGATAACAGAAAGAAAACTAAGAAGAGAAATTTATCGAAAACTTTTTCAGCGATTATCAATTGCAACATGTGCGTTTATTATTACTCATATGAATTTCATGACGTAACTTCTGTTTCTTCCTCCTTTTTTTATTACTATTCCCTTGAGAATAGTCCGAATGTCTGAGTGTGTCACGTAACGTCTGTTTTGGTGATTACGAATACCGAGAGTAAAAAAACTTGGAATGTCTACCAATTTAAATATTTTTTTACTAACGAGATAAATCTTAACTTTCTATGTTACCCCCTGTTTCAGTATTATTCGCTGTAAAACTAAATAACTACGCTTCTCACGATTTCATTGAACATCGATTAAACATATTTGCATACGTGGTTTATTCATTGGAGTATCAGATATCGATGCAATTTTCCTACCTACGTCCATGCAGGAACGATAAAGTTTTTTCGCTAGTCTGACAGGCGGAATCTCGTTAGGATCGTCGGGTTCTTCAAGGACGTCTTGAAAGAGAAAATTCAACGATACGTGAAATAAAGTAGCGAGTCTTACCTCTGATACGTTTGTGTGTCTTTTCCATGACGTTGTGATCTTCGGACCACTCGACTTCGTTCTCTGGTATGGAATTATGCAAACCCCACGAACCGCAAGCGTATTGGTAGAAATTTTCACAGGGATCCGCGGTCACGTCTCTGCTGTGTCGAATTTTTCTAGCTGGTGTGTGACAAAATATTCGTCAAATTATCCTTCTTTTCTTAGGATAATCGAACATCATTTTTTTAGAGTAATTATTCGAAATCGTTTGCAAATTTAGTATGCACCGTGAAATTTCGAGAAATCGAGAAAGAAAAATAATAGGAAATCGCAAACTAAAATTATTAAAAATTGCAGATCGAATAAATCAGCAAGAATATTCCTTTTCTCAAAGGAAGACAAAGACAAACACCTACGATAATCGAAAGAAAGAAGAAAATAAAAAACCACGATCTACGAAATTATTATAAATTGTAGATCGAATAAATCAGCAAGGATCATCGATCAAACCGTTCATTTTTCCCTCTTCTCAACGAAAGGAAGCTACAAGTTCCTCGACAATAATCGCTCTAAGATTCGAAGTTTCTTGACACTCGTGATTTCCCGGAGCGCGTCGAGACTTCCTGATGCTAATGATCAGTTGCAGGAAACGACGTTCGAGAGGCATCATGCACGATGATTTTCCTATTTTTCCAATTCCTATCCTTCTGCTCGAACCTCCGCCGCGTGTAACATCAAAAATTCTTCCAGCGCAACTTGGAAAATTTCTCGTTTCTCTCCTCTGGACGTCGTTCGATAAATCGTACCGATACTGCCGGAACAAACAGAGCTCTGCGTCCACTTACGCAATACCGGTGATTCGCAAGAAAATTGCAACTTATGTAAATGTTACGTCACAGAGAGCGAGAACGTACCGATCTCGTGGCAGTACGGTGTCTCGCAAATTCTTTGCTCCCGATTCTCTAGATAGTCGTGAGTTTCCGTGTCGTTCCTCGTGTTCGAGATCTTCCAGACCCGCGTGAACGACGGCGAGGGCAACACCGGAATCGCTGTAACCGCTGTCAACTGACATCTGCAAAGAAGAAGGAGAAAAAACTCGAAACCTGTCGAATTCATGAATAATTCTAATATCGAGTAATCCAAGTGTAATAACGTGACGAGGTCGAGGAAAATTCCTGCATTTGTCGCTCGTTCTAGCTAGATTTAGCGGTTCCCCGATGCACAGGTAGTTCCCGCCGTTACGAATTCATTGGTTCCTCGCGATTACAATTTTCATGCATTTACAGGAACACCATGCATCTACCCGAGTTGTCTACGTTTTTTAAATGTATTCTGGAAAATATAGATTTGCATAAAAATTCGCAGTCTTGTGACCGTTAGTGAATCGGGAATTCGCGAAGCTCGAGCTCGTTCTAACTGGCCATTACGTCGCTACAGTGATTCCCCGTGCAATTTTTGGAATAAAAATTCGGAGAGAAATTGGTGAAGTGAGAATTTGAAATTTGACACTGTAGAGTAATTAACAAATAGAGATGAAACAGATTGAAAATTTGCATTTGAGCAACAGCGAATGTTTCTTCTCCAACGTGAAGCTGACGAAGTTACAAATTTGTCGAAATATACCGTGCACCTGTGGAGTCCCTTTTTGGGAAAAAATAAAAATTCACAATTTCCAAATTATGTCCACTATTAACGCTTCCATTATATTCACGATAGATTCTTGGAAAACTTTCTCTGGATAATTTTACATACAAAAGGCTAATTCTGCGAATCATCTTTTCTCCAAAATTTTCTATATTTATAATTAATTTTCTATACAGCTCTGACCCCGAAAGTGTGTCACCGAGATTCGCGAACTAGAGTTCGCTTATCTAATCGGCGTCTTTTTTAACACAACCGTCGAATATCGTTTGTTTAAAAATTCCGCGCGTACACGGTTCCGTAAAGTCGTCGATGTCGCAAGGAACAAGCCTCGATACGCCGATTTATCGTCGGTATGCGTTTTCAGTCAACTTACATTAACCAGACGAGCTGCATGCTTGTCGAAGGAGCGAAGTCCTGGACTGATGTAGCCGCTAGTCAAACGAGCCTAATCCAACACCCGCGAAACCAGCCGTCTTTATCCGGCGAACACGTCTCTTCCGCTCTTTTCGAATTCGTCGAAAAGCCAGTCGCTGCACAAGGTCAATTAATGAACTGTGTTTTATGAAACAAGCTAGGTACGTCAAGAGTAATTGATTTCACGAATGTCGCGCTTCGATATCTGGATAAAGAGTGGAACGACTGAGTTGTACGAGAATTATAGCAACGAACAACGTTGTTTATGGGCATCTTATTGTCATGTTAAACGATGAATCACTTTTCCTCGCTGTTTGCAGTAGTAGTTACTCTTTTCTTCAATTTTTTTTTTTTCAGCTAAAATCATTTTACGCATACGGTTCTTCTACGTTGGAAAAAAGAACGTGCTCGTTGAAATGCAAATTTCGCGATTCGGTTGTGAAACCGATACTCGCGACATAAATGCAACAATAGTGATTGTTTGAATTTACATTAACATCGAATCTGCTACTAATTCTTTATTGATTTGAAATTGATGTTGTGCAGATCAATAGCACTTTACCTCATTTCGAATGATTTGAATGATAAAAAATTCGTTAAAAAATTATTACAAATGCTACCTTTTTGGGGGGAATTTTTGTGCAACTTGCAGTGCACAGTGATTCCAAATATTTGGCCGGTAGTGTACGTGAAAATGTTTGTGTTAAATGGAAGAGAAAATTTGCGTCGAGTGTGATTTATTGTATTTATTAAAGTGTATTGATAAAAATTCACATACTTATAAATCGAGGTAATAAATTGTAATTGTTTATGACTTTCTTCCCATCGTCCATTAAATGGCGGCGGTAAATCAGTGGTAAATCTTCCGATAGAGAGGACAGATTGTTACGGCTGATCGAAATCTTCCAGGCGGCTTATTCTACTTTAACATTATAGCGGAATAAGGAAATATGTACTACGAAAGTTCTCCTTCCTATACTACTTTTATACAGAGTGGTGGGGTTTGCACCTTTAACGCGGTAGTATCCATGGTGGGGATAGAATGGCCTCGATATTTTGTTTCAATGGCACGATTCCCATTCGCGATTTGCGTGCGATAGGTAAATCATTATTAAAACAGTTTTTTCAATTTATTTCAGACTTAGATGTTTCATTTCTTTTTTTTTTTTGTTTTAATTCACTGATTTAACATTTCATCTGTCGTTACAGTGGTACATATATCATTATGCCGTGGAAGATAATGTTTGGGGAATTATCTTATTGATATTCATAGTTGTTACGAGAAAAATATTAGCGTAGCGTTATGTTTAAAGCTTGTGTAAGATCATATTCTATACGAGAAGAAGAGCTTGGAAAGCAGAAATCAACTATGGATTCTTATACTCAGTTTGCTGTAGTTTGTGTTTCACGTCGGTAATGTAGAGAGTGATAGAGATTCTCTGGGTAAATTAAACCAATGAAATCGTACAATTGTAAAAGCAACTTTCATTCCAGTATGAAACACGAAAAATTCAATGACAGGTGCTATTAGAAAGTGGGAAAGTTCAACGAGCTGTTCAGAATTTTTGTTACATTTCGTCTTAATGTTCGTACATATGGCAACGACGTGTGGAAGCACTAAAACTATAGCAACATATTGTACGATGCAGTTTTCTTTATTTGATTTAATCAAATCTTCGTTAAAAAGTGTACTTGTAACGTGACAGACGAGGTGTACGATAGATCTAACATCTTATGGAACTTTGTGTCCACGGCACGAGGGCCGAGAAGGCCCTTACCATTCTCGCGTCGCTTCCAACGTTACCGATTTAACATAATCACAATATTAGCAGAAATGTAACTATGAAATTGCAAATAAGAAAGTAACGTAATTGTTTAACAGCAGATGATTCATCGCATGCGCGTGATCTATTGTTGTCGAAAGATCGTGAACAGTTCTACCCACGCAAACCTATATATTTAGTCGTGTTTACCGCGAAGGATAACTCGTCGAGGTATTTGGTAACATAGAACTGAGATAGACAAGGAAAGAAATACGGGAAAACGAGAATAACGCTAGAAAAACGGGTTAAACAATGAAAGAATTACGGGTAGATAAGGATAGCATTACGCCAGTGTGTTAGACAAGGAAAGGTATATGGTTAGACAAGGACAGAAAAAATTTACAATCGAAAGTAACGCCATCTCGTGTTTGGTCACGCGAAATAACGACTCGTTACTCGGAACACAGAATGTGAACAGAGGTATTAGCAAGGAAAACACTAGTGTGCGACAAGGATAGATACACAACGCTTCCTATTGGCTGGCGGGGCGCCATGCTCCACCACCCAGGGCCTCAGCCACGTGATCCGGTGAAAAATCATTAATAACTCAATAATTACGATGATTTTGTGAACTTTTAGAATTGAAGAATGAAGTCTGGACCTTCAGCAACTTTCACATATACTTTTTAGTTCACTAGACCCTGTCAGTAATTAGTTATTAACAATTTTAGTACGTGATGTCGGGAACGATACCGGATAGCGTCATGTATGTTAACGGTTTTTCATTAATTTCATAGCTTTCTACTAAATTCTCATGCAACAGACTACATGCGTTTGAAAGGCAACTCCTTTACCTATATTCTTTTCTAATTTTTATTAACATATTCGGTTTAGTTTAGGAGCTATTAAACATTATACGGGGGAGTCTCCTATTCGTTGTACTCGAGTATAGTCAACTGCTATAAACAAATGCTAATATCTCATAAACCACATAACGTACGCACTTGAAAATGATTGGAGAATATAGGCAAAGGTCTGTACTATATTCTACATGCATAAAAGTGCAAAATTAATCATGCATTTTCGTAGAAATGACGGAAATCCGTTAGGCTTCAATGTGACGAGTATAGTACTCACCCAAATAATATTTAATAACTCATTATTTACAATGAAATTGTAAACTTTTAATATTGAAGAATAAAGTGTAGACCTTCAGCAACTTTCACATATACTTTTTAGTTCACTAGACCCTCTCAATAATTAGTTATTAACAATTTTATTACGTGATGTCGAGAACGATGCCGCATAGTGTCATGTATGTTTACGGTTTTTCAATAATTTCGTAGCTTTTTACTAAATTCTCATAGTAATCACTATATGCATCAGAAAGATAATTCCTTTGGCTACATTCTCATGTAACTTTTATTAACATATTCGGTTTAGTTTCAGTGTTATTAAGCATTCTTTAGGTGAGTATTAGACGCGTCGCATTCAAGTGTAACACATTTTCGTTATTCCAATAGATATGCGTGATTAATTATGCACTTTGAAGCTTGAAGAATGGAGAATGAACTTTTATCTAGATTCTTTACTACTTTTGGTAGACGTAAGTGGTGTGGTTTAGTAGATATTAGCAATTGTTTACAACATTTAACTATACTCGAGCACGGTGAATAGGGGACTCTCTCCTATAATGTTTAATAACTCTTAAACTATGCCGAATATGTTAATAAAAATTAGATAACAATATAGCTAAGGGAGTTACCTTTCAGATGCATACAGTTAGTTGCATGAGAATTTATCAGAAAGCTATGAAATTATTGAAAAACCGCTAGAATATTCGGTATCGTTCCCGACATCACGTTCTAAAATTGTTAATAACTAATTATTGAGAGGGTCTAGTGAACTAAAAAGTATATGTGAAAGTTGCTGAAGGTCCAGACTTCATTCTTCAATTCTAAAAGTTCACAAAATCATCGTAATTATTGAGTTATTAATGATTTTTCACCGGACCACGTGGCTGAGGCCCTGGAAGGCGGAGCGTGGCGGCCCGCCAGCCAATAGGAAGCGTTTTCTCTCTATCCTTGTCGCACACTAGTTCATTCCTTGTCTAATACCTCTGTTTATATCATGTGTTCCTATTAAGAAATCGTAGTTCGCGTCACCAGACGGGAGATGGCCTTGTCTAACACTATACCTTTCCTTGTCTAACTCATTACCCTAGTGCTATCCTTATCTACCGCTATTTCTTTCCTGTTTTTTTTTTCGCTATTGCTATTCTTGTCATTTTTATTATGTTTAATTGATACTTATAAAAAATTTTTCATTCCTTTAACATTACTTATACAAAAGGAAGTGGACGTGATGTGTAAGGGAGAAATAAATAGACTGTAAAATGCTATAAAACAATACTGGTATAATGTAACCTTTTGTAAAATACATTTTGTACACTTGTCTTACAAGAAATAATTTATTTTTTTTATAAATAATAGCATTTCTTTATTTTTTATGATGTTGAAGTCCATTCCTTGATTTCATTAGTGTCCTGGAAGGTCCATCTGTAATTCATAGGAAAAGAACATTAATTTTTCTAATTTTTAATAAAAATTATTATCAATTTCGGACTAATCTACTGAATACAATGGTTAATTTAATGCAAAAGTAGTATCACAGACGAAGTACAGGATTAGACATGACGTGCAAAATCACTAACAGTGATTTATCACAGTGATCGTGATTTTTCTATCTTGAGTGAATTTTCTCACTGTGATCGTAATTACTGATCTTTAAAAAGAACATATTCAATATGATTTGAAAAATAAATTACATTACTATTTGTGTTTTTAAAAATCAGTAGAAATTATAATATAATTAATTTCGTTGCGTATGTGTTTACAATAAGTTCATTGCCGTTGAGAGTGATCTAGCTGGGCAGTCTTCCGAAAGAAAGTTGCTTTCGTTTTCTAGCTAGACCATGACCTTTAGAAAATATACAATTCTTTGAGAACAATTGTGAAAAACGTTGTGAAAAATACCCTGGCCCTTGTAAGATCTGTAACAATGACTTTATTTTAATTCCATGATACAATGAATGAAACGATGGACGAATCGTGACGAAAAATAGTACCGTGGGTTCTTTACAAAGACGCAAGAGCTTGTATAGATACACGTACAAGCAGTTCTTCTTTGTGAATGATTGTATCTTGTTCTAGTTGATTAACGAAGTGGAAAAACAATCACATCTAAAATATCGTCAAAAGTTAAAAAATCTTCTTTATAAGCTTTACAAATATTTTATAATAATAATATAAGATAACCCTGCTTAATGTACGCTACATAATTTACCTATACCTTCGAAGTTCGAATGTCGTGAGAGGCTTTCTAGCGTTGTGCGAAAATTCTGCAAAAATGTTTTCATTTCAGTACCGTGAAAAAACAAATAATATAATGAATGTCTTGCAATAAAATACAGTACCTTGGGTCCAGAAATAGCCACTTGAATTTTTTCGAGGACTGTTTGAAATAATCAAACCGACGACTTTCCTACTCGCACGATCGTCGATACATATGTCAGCGAAAATTAATTCGAATGCAAACGATCCTAAGAAAGTTTTTTAAAAAAGAAATCTTAATATATTTTTAACAACATCTTGTATTAATTTTTTTTATCATACCTGCTTAATGTACGCTGCATTATTTTTCTGCATGGTCGAACGTCGTCACAGACTTCGTCGTATTGGCACGATGAAACAAATACTGTAATAAACGTATTTTAATAAAATTCAATACTTTGGGTCTAGAGACAGTCAGTTGAATCTGATCGAGAGCTATTTAAGCATTCCTACACACACGATCGTATTATTTTCAATAAAAATAATTCGAATGGAACTACGCTAAGAAAATTTTAGAACTTCTAACAATACCTGTTTTTAACAATAGCTGAATCATTATCCGGCGTCTCATCGTGTAAACTTTAAGTGGTAATGTTGGGTCGATGCAGGTGTCATTATATTATCGATGAATTTTTATAGGTTAGCGGTTGCATTTCTTTTAACTTTCTTTCAAAGCGTGAATGTCAAACTGTCCTTTGAATGAATTTTGAAAAGGACCTGCTTGTATATCTGTTGTCACGATCCTTGATGGGTTGACTCGTTCCCTTGTAAAACTACCTGTATACACCTTCTTTTGTTCCCTTTGTCACCTTCTATGCCAGTTAAATTAACACGCGCCACTAAACGTGTGGTAAACAGACGGGCCGGTAAGTAGATCGAACTCTAACCACAAATTACCGAATACAGAAAATAATACGCACTTCTTCATTAATTCGTATGTCCTTTATTTCTATCTGTTTTACGTTGATTTTCAGTCATAAACCTGATATCCCGAACGATGAGAAACACTTGAAAATTTATAATAGATTTTTTCCATAGGTTGCTACTGAAATTGTACATCATTTTCGATTTATGCATCGATTGAAATTTTCCTAATCCCACCACAAGGTGGCAACGACAAATACGCAATAAAATTATTCAATTGAGGTTGTTGACTATTCCTTACTGTGTTTTCTTAATTTTTCTGGGATATTAAGGTTTGTTTAATAATTTATTAATTTATAAATGTGGAATGTCTAAAAAATAGATGGTGGTTGGGTTTCTTTTTCAAATCTAACCAATCTTCGTTTCCGGTTTTATTAATTAATTAAATCAATTTATTCTGATTTTTCGCCAAGTTTAACATATTTGGATGTTGTTATAAATTATTTCACACTAATATGAACTAACAACTTGTATTTTTTATAATAATTACATTAATCATCTAACATCAATTATTAGTCAATATTTTGTTCTCAGTTGTCATCTCCATCTTTCCCGTTAGTGTTTCACTATGGTCCAGAGGCTTCACGTAACGCTGTAACGCGCTGCCGCGATATTAAAAGAAAATTGCGGAAATCTTGGCTGAAATTTGCAAAGGTGTATTTCATTTTATTCCTTATTGATCAAACTTTCGAGTGATCATTGAATTTTTGATAATTTTCCATTATTTCATAAATTATATTACGGGTGGTGGTCTCCATGCCTCGGTTCAACGGTTTTTCGCAATTTTTTTGAATCTGTAAGCCTCTCGTGTCGTGTTAAGTAGTTTCAATCATTTATTTATCGTTTAATAAATGATTGATCGCGTTTCGTGATAAAAATCGGGTAATTAAAGATCGCGTTCGGGAAGTGTTCGGGAGTGTTCTATTCTAAAGTGCAAAAATGGCAGCGAAATGCAAGTTGAAAAAGAAATGGACAATGATGGCGACCCTCCATGTTGCAAATCAAGGTTAATATTTGGAAAATCGATGAGTGAATTAAAATTTTTATTTTTCGTTATTTTTTGCACTTCCATAACTTTATATCATTATTTTTTGTACTTTTTAAACATTTTTCATATTTCCCATATACATAATTGGTTTCTTTTATATTTTCGACATTTTTTTATCATTTTTATTTTTATTTTCCATTATTTTGTTTAAAAATTTTTTCGTTTCTAACATTTTCTACGGTGTACTAATTTTGTACCTTGTACTTACTTACATATGATGATTATTATCTTACATAAATATATTGCATAATTTTTTAACGTAAATTTTGTTTATCTTCATTGTTTGTCGGCTTAGAATATTCTATTCATTTCATATTTTGGATATGTACTATTTGAGAATATTCAAAAAAATCTAAAAATTCTAGTAATAATTTTATGTTTGAACATTATAGTCGTTTTTAATCGTTTTTCAAATAAATAGTTTCGCAGTTTTACCATTGGGACGACAATACCTTCAAATTTGTCGATAATTTAGATTCTGCAGTACCAATGTTGCATTGTAGTTACCGACATAGATCTAGGCGTGAGATAGGACAACAAATGGTAATAAGATTAGTACAAATATTTCTCATTTAAAAATTGAGAAACCTATTATCGACATAGATGAAGACGTGAAATAGGGCAACAAATGGTAAAAAGATTAGTACTAATATTTCTCATTTAAAAATTGAGAAACCTATTATCGACATAGATCAAGACATGAGATAGGGTAACAAATGGTAAAAAGATTAGTACCAATATTTTCATTTAATATTGACAAACCTATTATCGACATAGACCAAGATGTGAAATAGGACGACAAATGGTACAAAGATTAGTATAAATATTTCTTCTTTAAAAATTTGCGAAACCTATTATTGACATAAATCAACGTGAGATAGGTTAATTAGGTTTGGGTTGTATTTGTATTTGATAATAAATAAGATAATAATTACAATTTATAATTGCCAAATTTATTATAGAGAAAAATTACTTTTTTAACATTTTTAACACTAGCAGCTTCTTTCTTACGGGGAAATGCGACTCATTCGTAGTGAATTAATAAAAAAAATACCTTCCGTCGTTAACGATCGCCTATATCGAAAATAGGATTTTAACGTTTTCGCGAAAGTTGATTCGCCATCGCTAGTTACCATTGAGTGGTCGCGCGGGACAGTCGCCCGCGGGTTACTCGCGCAAAAGTCCGTGCGGGTTAGCCGTTGGTGTGATCGCTCATTGTGTAATCCGTTGTTACCGGTTGTTCCCTTTTTGGGTTCTTTCCGGCGGGGCCTAGTTGTACCTAGCTGTCTTCGATTATTTCGGTCAACGCGTAAGTCTACTTGGTCCCTGAGTAACTCCGTGACTCCATGATAGTGTCGACGAGTGTGTCGCGTGTTACGCTCGATGGTTCGCACCAGTGATTGCGAATTTTTCGTTTCGGTCGCGCCGCGAAAGTGTCTCACCGCGATTCGTATTTTTTTATTATCTCGTTAAGAGAGAAGAGAATTTTTTAATTATTCTAATATTACACCGGGAATCGTAAAATGATTAAGATAAGACACTCGTATATCGTTCCGCGATACTTTCTACGAATGGGAATCGTAAATCTCTGAAGGTAGAGAGCTGAATAGGACTCTTGTTTTTGTAGGGTCCTTATGTAGTCACTTCCGTGGGATAAACCTGGTTGTTGGTATCTTTTTCTGAAAAGAAGACAAAAAAAAAATGAATGGATAAGATAGCATGTAAAGTTTGCATAAGTGCAGTGTTAAATCACGTCAAAATTTCTTGGCTGTGAAGCCGAAATAAAGAATATATATATTAATAATTTAGCATCTTCAATTTGATTTAAGATAACTGTTAGTATTCCACCTCTATAAATACATCAGAACTAATGAAAACTTGTTGAAATTAATAAAAGAATTTCATTGGTATTATTCCTTTATTTAAAATTATAAGTAATATTAAAATTTTTAATTTTAATACATTTATTATTTTTGAAATTATTAATGTATAATGGAAGATATTGCAATACTGTACCACAGACAAGATATACAGTAGACCACTCATCTAATATATATTTTTTGTCACATGATCACGGGGTCCTAGAACCCTGTTACCATCATTCTACTATATCGACTAAGACTGGTATTATACCACTGCACTATTAGTGATAAGAATTAAAATCAAACACACTTGCTATTTGTTATTTTAAATAATGAAGTAGACAAAATTTCTAATCTTAGGGTAAATCAGAATAGATTCTATCACACACATTTGCGTTTTGAGTGTATTGGCAACATAGTAGCAACGTATAAACGACCAATATCTAGTTTTCCGCGATGCAGTTCTTTAACTGACCGTTTGTAAGCATAGAATTCGCTTCAAAACTAATAGTTTTCAACAACGTTGGTATTGCAGATCGTGTGACAAAAAATCCCATAAGATCTACCTTAAATTACCTCTGTACCTGTACTTCATCGGTGTTCTTCTCACATTCTCTTGCATATCGAATTACCATCGACAGAATATCGCCTCTTACCGACCGTTTGAATACGCATGATATTGTGCCGGCCAATCCCGTGATCGATTACTCTCGGTTCGCGCACGCGGTTGGCGCACGAGTCGCGCCAGCTGATTGGCGCTCGGGCCGCGACGAAGTGTCAAGCACGGCGAGCAGGTGGTGCTCGCGTGCCACCGCATTTGTAATGGCGTGCGACGGCTAGGAAAAGGGCAACAACGCGCACGAGTGCTCGGGTTTTCGTCTGTTGTAAAAACGGGAAGTGCGTTGGTGCGTGCGTGCGGTGACAGTATCGTTAAAATGACAACGTCGTCGAGTATTCTGCCGTCGTATCAGCGGTTCGTGAACGGTGTACCGGTGCCCCTGTTCTCGAGACGATCGTTCCGTCCGCGTGAGAAGTATCTGATCCTGCTTGTGTTTTTGACGTTCGGTGTCGTGTGTTTCGGTGCGTTCTTCTTTTTGCCGGATTTCCGTGCGGGTACCGGCGGCGTGGCAGTGAACAGTGTCTATCGTGTTTACCAGCACATGCAAAAAGCGGGACCGGAGTTGCTTATACCGGCGCCACCTCGTTTACAGGGGGGCCTAAAGGGGTCCATGGGTCATCCGAATGCCGTGCCACCTGGACACGAGGGCATTGATCATCAGGATGTGCATCTTCTCGAAGACAAGCAAAAGCTGCAGGTCCTACGCGCTTCTGTCAACCAGTGTCTCTCGACGTTAACGCTTCTTTCGATTCTCGACTGTGCTCGCGACTCTCGATTTCTCCTAGCCCTGTTTTTCGAAATCGTTCTTCTCGTCTGTCATCGTTACACGACAAGTCACCGAAGCTGTTATTCTCATTTGACATTGATCTCACACGATGTGTAACCGTGAGCAGCACTGTCTTGTTGTTTCTTCGTGACCGTCCCCCCATGTGCTTCTTTCCTTCAGCTGTGTTACACGCTTTCGCGATCCGTTTGTTTACATGCGGCCATCGTGACGTATCGCGGGCACACGTGTGCACGCGTAACGGGGCAAAAGTTCGCACGGTTCCGTGATTCTCTTGGTGGCCTCTTCGATTCGGCGCACGCTGGTTTATCCTGTCCAGTTTTTGCGCTAACGGTAACTGTCATCTTGTTTTCAGCTGGCGCGGGAGCTACATACTTATCGACGAGTAGTACCGTGCACATTGTACGTTCCACGAGATAGCATACCGATGGGTTCCGATTGAAATTCCGATTATCGTTACTGCTACTTGACTTTCATAGTTTCGCGTGTTATTGTATGTTGGCCTTCCTTTTTCGACCCCGTTTGCGTCATAATAAATTACGCGGGACACGCGAAACACGAAACGTTCTACCTACGTTTCTGCGCGGTTAGAATATTTATAGCGAAATCTGAAAGTCCGAATTTGCTCGACTGGTGATCGCGTTTCATCGGATGCGCGCGCGCGCGCGCGTGCGAGCACGCGGTTTCTCGAACCGGAAAAGCGGGAACTATCGTGCGTCGTTGTTCTCCGTATAGCGCGAATTAAACGGCGAGCGAATTACGCGCATTGTGAAATGTAACTGCGTGAACCTCGTTGACCGGGATTGAATTATCTAATTTTTTCGTCGGGCTGGCGGACTGGTGCCGCGCTCTCGCGAGAACGAGTTTTATCAACGCTAATAGACTCTCGCCCTAAAATTTCAAAGCATATAGGGTGACGCAGGAAAACACGATTAGATGATTAGGCTATTTTCTCGAGACATAGATAATTTGTTGTTGGTAAAGTGGTATTTATATTACAGTTTCTTACTATTAATGCAGGAAAATTGTATATGTACAATGTAGGTCTAATGTCTTCTTTTCTACCAACATACCGGGTAGTCAATAAGTCGTTTTATCATTTAAACATCGAATAACATTTTTTCTATTATGTCCTTCAAAGATTTTCTTTTAGATTTGAAGAAAAGTTTATTCGATTTTGAAACGACAAAGCGACTTGTGGGTCACCCAGTGTATAAGGTGATGCGAAAATAGGCTGATAGTCTTGCTAGATACTTTAATGCAATGGACTTAAAAATATGTAGAAATAAAAGCTGTTCGTTGATAGTAAAATTGCACTACAATTACTGTTATTTATCAATGTCAATACATAAGTACAACATAACATAGATGGATATACAGGGTGACAAAGAAGTACGTAGATTATTTACATAAATTTCAACGATAGAAAAGTGAAATTTACGCGGTTCAAATTTCACAAAATTATGGAACGTTATTTCCACGTGAAAAATTAGGTATCTTACAAATTTTTCAGGATAAAATTTTAATTTAGGAAAGTTACATAGTAATTAAAGAAGCCTAAGACCGAAATCAATTATTTTCCCAACATAGTAGCTTCGACAAATACCGCACCATTGTTTTTCTTTTTAAATCGTTGGATGAAAGCAAACTTTTCTCCCGGTTGGAAAATTTTCACGTATTTATTTAACATTTTAAAATCGTTCCCCGATGTTCACTTGTCCGTTTGCTGGGCCATTGTTTACGTCGTTGTATACGTCGTTTTCGCGATAACCCTTGTTGCCCTGAAATAGTAGAATTTATCGCCGTATTCACGTTCAATCATATACAAACGTTCGACGAATGTTTAATCGCAATTTCAAAACGTAGTTTGCATCTTTCTCGATAACAATTCGGAAGATCTCCATTTTAAATTTCCCGCCAGAAGAGTGTCGATCCCACGTGACCGTTCTTAACATCGGTTACATTCATCGATCGCGAAATTAATACACGTGTCTTGCTCTCTAATTACTACAAGTTACGATTATTTCGTCTGCATGATCTTTTCGTATTAGTTTAAAAGAGGAGAAACACGTGAAATAGTTTTCCATTGTTGGATGTTTCGCGTGTTTATTTTTGCACGGTTACTCAAGATATAATTTAAACTGCAAATGTAAGTTGCAGGGTCGGTTTGAGTAATGGTTGTTCCGCGAGTCGAACTTATTAAAATTTCTGCGCAATTCTAATGACAATTTCATCGCGTAACAGAGGTGTAATTCGACTGCAATTTGTACAGTTGTTCGCGAGTTTAACGGGCTTAACATTTGCGCGTGTTGGGTTAGTTCAACTTGGTGTTCAAATTTCCACACGTTTCCTGTAGGCTACTTTCTAAAATTCGAAGCTGAAGGAATCGTTGGGAGAATAATCAGGAGAATTTCCTTTGTAACGGAACTAATAGTTTTGATTTGTCCGCAAAGAATTGCGTTGTTTATCTTGAAATTTTTGTATGATAGGAGTGTGGAATTTTAAGAAATTTTAATTATTTCGTTTTAAATTTAAGGAATTATTTATAATACTGATAGACCATGGTAGTAGCGTGGAATTTTAAGGCGAATACCTCTGAATTACGCCATCGACGTGTACCTTTCAATCAGACTGTCCACTGAAAATGATACAGATGCAAAGTTTCGATCGATCCACGCGCGATCGTCCTCATTAATACACACCGATTGTGTAATGCGGTTTTTATAATAAGGTCCTCTCGTGGCGATTTCACGTATGCAATGGTCGACCGCGATACAGCCGGATTAATTGAATTAAATGTAGACCAGTTGGCGACGAATTGAAAGAGCTGTGATAGCACCGTATAGATATCGAAAAGATCATCTCGGAGAAAACGATTTTGATATAAAAAAAAAAAAAAAAATTACAAATCTACAGTATTTTTGAAAAATTAAAGGAATATTACTTTTATATAAAAAGCTAAGAATCTTACAAATTTTGTCAAGAGATAATTATTCTTTGATACGAAGTCAGAGCATATAGTGTACACAGTAATCGATACTTGACAACAGGTATTGAATGAAATTAGTGGAAATATAATGAATTCGATGGAAACGAAGTACGAAAATTTCCAATTCTTTGGAACTTTTTCCAAATTTTTCTTAGAGGTTGATCACGTTTTCATTTGTAAGTCGAGGTAATTACCTAGTAGCTTCGTTTCTAACGCGCACGTTCTTCGTGTGTATCATATATAATAGGTGAATTTGTATTTCAAAAATAAGCGGTCCGCACAATTTCTCAGATGACAAACGAGTTGCATGTAATAAAGGTTAAAAATTTTCACGTTCGTTTCGATGCCCTTACATAAGAATGCCGTATCTTGAAAACTCGGTGAATATATGTACGCCTGTGTGGACAAGTCGAGAAAATGACGAGTAATTAAGTCATGAAAATTAATCGCGATTATGTAATTTTCCTTGAAACACATATGTTGCATTAACTTATAAAAATAGCAGATAAAACTGTGCTATACATATGTAGTACATATACTGTTTCGTTCTATTGTCGGAAGTCGATTACACATTACACATCAAATGGTACTTATCGAATTCTGATAGAATATCTTTTAGATTGGTACACTCTTTATCGCCGGAAGTCTACAATGCACTTTGCTAATGCGATAAAGTGAAATTTAATTCGAGATGATTCATGTCTATTGTTCTTTCGATAAAATCACACTAATGAATAATTTATTGAATAAACATTGAGAGGATACTAACTACTTTGTCTAAAAGATCTTACCAGATAATTTGATCTTATCATCGTTTATATTTAAAGTTTCAATTAATTTTACGATATATATACTAATTACATTAGAATTCAGTACAATCAAAATTACCATGATCTCAGCATAATTAGAAGACTCTCATTTTCGTACAAAAAGATTCCTTATCACGAACCTTATCTAATCTTTAATAATAGAAGCCAAGCCAAAAATTCGAGCAAACATCAATTTCAAATTTGTCCATTGTTATTGAATTACTAGAAATGTTCGATGACTCGTTCGTTTGTAATTATTTCACAAAAAATCGAAGCATAATTTGTACGTTATAACGAACTTTCTTGTAGCGAATTTCCGCATCGAACACATCGGACAGTTCGCGATACGTTGAATCTGAAAAGCGTTTAAATTGCCAAGAAGCAGCCGTTATTCCCGTGACATTTCTTTTTTCGTTCTCTTATAATCGTGACGGGCTTGGTTAGTCGAGAGTGTCGAGAGCGGCGTTCCTCGAGCACAGACGAAGCGAAAGAAACGCGTTTCCGTCGAGTCGAGATTGCATTCGGATGGCGGTATTCGAATAAATACACACAGGTCCGAGGTCTCTCGGGCGGTTTGAGAAAATTTGATTTTCATTCAAGCGTTCTAGAGGCCGCTATTCACGGTCTTAAGATGAAAATTTTGTGCAAAAGTAGTAGCGCACGAACGACCAGGCTCGAACGTGAAATACGGTGGCAAATGGGTATCTGACAAGGTTGGAGATTGTGCATTGATAAAATTGTATTATAAACGCCTTGGGAAAATGAATGGAATCGTTTGTTGAATAAATGGGACCGTTTCATAATTCAAAGAGATTTTGTGTCGCATGTTACTGACCTCTCCAGCTTAAGCATCCTGTACCTTCATGTAATTAACATTGATATTCTATTTTACGAATATACTCGAAGGAGGTAGTTTTCTTCTTTCGCGTTAAGAATTTACAGTTTCCTTTACAGAGTCCATTCACGTGTTCGATCAGATACCCATGCTTTTGTAGCTTTACATCTAAACAGGCTTAGAATATTACGGCTAATAGAGAAATAATTTTGATCGATTAATTTCATGTAATATGAAATTTATCATCTTCTATTATTAAGAAAAAAAGAAACAAAAAGGAAGATTCCACGTTGATAGATCATTTCGTTAATTACACAAACGTGAATTCCTTCCGTCAAATTGATGGCACGATAAGAAATCGATTTTCCAAGTAACTGGAGTTTTAATTTCTCTTCCGTATACCTAATTTCGTTAATTTGCCAGTTTTATTTCTCATTTTCTCTTATCTGTTCGCTCAGAAAGTATCTGTAGAATTAATTTCATTTAGTCAAAAATTTCGCTCAAAGAGAGACCAACGGATTTTAACGATCTTTCTACATTTTACAATTGATCAAATCTCTGATATACAAAAATCTCTATGCATTCTCGACCGTGACCGAAGTTGAGTGAATGGCCATCCGAAAGTCTCGAACCACGATTCCATTTGACGGAGTTTTTAGGCGAAAATCGACGAGGAGTATCAGCAACAGAAGACATTGGAGAAACCGGAAGTGAATAGTGATTCGCGTGTGCGTGTGAGTAGTTCATCCTCGTTAGTGTTCCATCGGAAGGACGAGATTCTGGAGACTGTGCCCCCAGCGCCTGCGGATAAACTTCCTTTAACCGTTGGTGGAGAGGACAACGATCCTGTTGCCAGGGAGCGGAGGGACAAGGTGAAAGAGGTAAGTCTTCTCTTCCATTCAGTTTGAAATTCTTTAAATAATATTGAAACAATCAATTGTCCACGATATAAATAATGAAAATATATCGCTATTGGGAGGGACATAATAAACCCTCTGATTGCTATTAGCGCCCCTCGACGAAAATACTCACCGTGAAATACTCCTTATAATTCTAACTCGGTGTCGAAATTCGAGTCTGAGTACTCGAGTGTTCGAACTTTTAGCCAATGACTCGTATGTCTCACTTAAGTGCTCTCAGAAAAATGTATCTCAATTTAGGATCCATTACAGATGCAATGATTGATGATAAATAAGAAAATCTTAAAAAATATTTTTTCAGGACAACTTTTTCTTTCAACTATTTAAAAATACTCACCGTGTATATATACTTACTATTAAGGGAGTACACCACTCTGAGGTGTTTGAAAATAGGTAAAGTTTGAGAATTTTTTTCATAGGTAACTACTAGATGAAAAGTTTCAATTTTTAGCAGAGGATATAAATGTAACTTTCAGCTTTTTTTTTCAATTTTTATGAAGTGAAAATGTTCTAAATAAAAAGTAGTAAATGAAGGTTCTTGCTATGCATGACATCATCTCTAATATATTACTCCATCGTTACGGGAACATTATGGATCGTCTTCGGGGGTTGTTCGTTAACTCGCGCAAACCTCGAAAACACATATGTTCTCGGTGGTTGGTGGTTTTGCTTTCCATTTTCCAACTAAATTTTAGCAGTTCTCGATTCCGTTGGCGACTCTATCCCGCTGTTGCGTCTGTTACATTTGCGTATAAATGAGAATACAGTGTGTACAGTCATGGATATTCCGATTAATGGCGTTTCTCGTGGTCGGACAAACGAAAGCGGGCCGCGGAAGGTAAATCAGCGCGAAACGAACAGACGACCGGATCGGAGATTCTCGTAATTTCGATTCGCGTGCAATAAAAATGAAATCGTTGGAAAATTGGGAAATAAAATTAGCGCGCCGTCGCCGTGTGCGCGGCGACACGTGATAACGGCCGTGAAAATTGTCAAAAAAATGGGCTTTCATCGTGTTTCCATGGGCTATAAATTTTGACAAGAAAGAAGAGCTGCGATACAAAAGCTTCTGACAATGTAACTCGTTTGGCGTAGATGTGATTTGCACGAATTCATCGGCTGTGTTTATTTTTAAGCAGAAATTCCATGGTGAATCGAGATTAATCCATCAGCTGTGTACTACTCGATGCATCATTCTATTCAGTGGATGTTTTTTACAGAAATCTGTTGAAATCTACTGAACTCTACTGAGATCCATCAAAATCTACTTACTGAATGTGAAGCAAGCCTCATTGTCAGTACGAGTTTGTTATAACATTATTCGACATACAAAGGCTACTACAAAATTATAAAAAAGAAAAATTATTTATTCTAGAATCTCGAAGTATAACGATTACATATGTACATCTTTATTAATATATGACACTAGTTTTGGCGACGAAATAGTATTTAAATCATATAACATTTTCTATACTTATGGGTGCCTTTTAATAAATATCCAGCAATTTCCATAAAATAAAAATTCTTTACTTTTTCTACGTTCTTAAGTATTTCAGATATTAACACTACCTGGTACAATGACGATAGTAATTGTACTAAATTTTGTTTAAATTCCTATAAAACAAGTTTCCATTCATCTGGACGGGGAAAAAACGATATATATATCTTTAATCTACAAATCCATTTCCAATGATTTGTTTCTCTCATCCATGGAGTGACGAGTTTTAAATTGCAGCCTCGTCAGGTAAATTTTACCCGATAATGTACGACATTTCATTGGTTCGGTAGAAGAACCGGAATCCGCTTTAGCCGGCAAATTTTTCACGACGATTTCGTCTCTCGCGGCACCGCTATTCACCGATCCAGCGTATTCAACGAATTTCCATGCGTGCGCTCATTTTCGTGCTTTACGAATGGCCCGCCGCCCCATTATCTATTTATTGGTTTATTAAATGCTTTAGACCAGTTTTCCAGGGTAACCTGTTCAGCTTTCAGCGTCGATTTTTAATATTTCCGTATCGCGAAATGTCGTTGATCATTGATGCACGGAATGTGCATCGTTGGCTGTTCACTCGATGGTTGTTTTCCTCTTTTTTCTTTTTTCTCAGTTTTTCTTTCTTTTTTTTCGGTTGCACACGCCGCACGTTTGTATTCACTTCCCGAAATTGATGGCGCGTTTCCAATTCATCCAATTCAATCGGTGTCCGATAGTGGGAACTGCGAGAGTGTTTTTGCATTTGAATACTATCACACACACAGTGTCTTTTCTACGTAATAGCAATCTTTCTATACGAGGTGTGTAAAGAATTTTTTGGAATTTTTCCAGAAATATTAAATATTACTCTAATGTAATGTATTACGATAAAATTGCTCATGGTAATATTTATTAAACTTACCTTCAATTGAATATCTCACACTTCGTTCCACATAATTTCACACGTGATACTAAATTCACGAATAGTCAACCAACTCCTGAATTTCTGTACACTGTAAGTATTTACACAATGGAAACAGAATTTCTTCAAAGTTCGTAGATCATACCAGATATCTTACTTTCTTTCGAATAATTCCGTGACACCTGGAAGGGGTTATCTTTTAACGGATAAACGCGCGAACGTCTTGGCGATTTCAATCTCGCCATTTTCCCGCTGCCAATTAAATTTAATCGGCTCTGTATTCGCTAATGCGAGGCCGCAGCCGCGTTTAGCTTTGTTCCTTCTATCTCTGATTGCGGCTGCTTGTTCATAGCTCGCCGGATTGTTGCGCATGCAGTAATATGCGAAGCGTTTATACGCTAGTGCATTTGTAATCGCCTAGGAATTCCCGAGGCATCCTCGTAATTGTTGATAGAACGTATGACAACTGATAAAGTTTTATAGGCCAAGTAGTACAACGTTCAGCTTTCTAACTTCAAAGTTGAGATACGTGAAATCTTCGTAGAAAGTAAACATCGGCAAAATTCTCTGTTCTTTAAAGTAGAAAATGAATTTTTTGTTTTGCTAGAGAATTTCAATTTCTATTAATTTATTCTTCGTTTTTTTTTTTTTGGTCTTCTCTTTTCGTGGCAGAAACGTGAGAAAATGCTTTCGCGAGCTGTTCCTTTCATATTTCGAGAGGATTAAATTTTTATATGCAGAGCAAGTTGCGCGAAGAAACGTGGAAGTTGCAGTTTTGCGAGGTGGGGGATTAAAATTTTCAAGTAGCAGCGCGAACCCGCAGTCCGTGCTTATTTAGTCGAAAACTTTTTCAATGGCTTCCTTAACGCTTCTTCATTGGAGAAACTTCTAACGTGACTGGCATGCGGACGCAATATTTGAGAATCAAAAAACCCGATTGACGCGTGAAAGATAAATCACGCGGTTTAAACGAGTTCGTAACAATAGAAAGTCGAAAGTATTCTTGTTCCCTTTTAAGGCAATCAAGATATATCTCGCCGAGATCTGAATATCGGAGGAAGCAAGATGAAGAGAAAATACCATGCAGTAATACATTTGGCACTTCTATTTTATTATAATGTTATCTTAAGTTTACGATACAATCGACGCATTTGCTATTTTTCAACACTCGAATATTTTAGTTTCTTGACACACTGTTAATTGTATTTTATGTATATAGTTGTATCGCTTCCACCAACTATACACTCAGCTCTGCACAATAAATGGTTTAAACAAATAATTTTCTATCATTTGTCGATAATAAAAAGAAAATAGGAAACTTTAAATATTGCACGGATTATTGCTTGAAAATTGCCAATCACGATAGAATATGGCTATCGCAGTTGCTCTTCTACGAACAATTTACTATCCCCCGCTGGTCTGTGGTGATTTCCGGGGATAAATTTTCCGAAGGTATTATTCATCGCTAAGTAAGTACACTTTCCGTTTCAGGGTTCAATCTCGCACGAAGTTTGACTTACTCATCTGGTAGCTAAGGGCTGAGGTCAGCCTCGCTCCCCATTAAATACTATATTATATACATATCCCAAAACCTACGCTTTCGGTACTTAGTTAGCGTCAGTAGCAGTTAGTTCATGTCAGAAATTCGTCTAGTCTATTAAGCCTTCCGCAACCCCGTTGTACTTACTTCCTGTTATCGCGAGGAACTATCTTTCGAATATACAGTCTCCTGAAGGAAGATGAACATTTCGATGAATAAATTCTTAATTAACGTTTTCTCTAATATATGAGTAAACAGTAAGTCTCGCGTAGCAGAACAGAATTTGGAATAATGATTTACATATAAATTTTATAATTTCTGATGAAAGCATTTCAAGCGAAGAATTCAATTGGATCTAGAATTCGTGAAGCCGCTTATATAGCAAATAAATTAAGAATTTATTCCAACACAAAGTTTATTGTTAACAATATGTAAATGTATCGTTAATGTTTCAAAGTCCAATTGTATAAAGTTCAAGTTCGCGTAACAATGAACAAGTCTTGCCTGATAAGTTCAAGTGGTTAAATCAATAATCCCCTTAATTCTAACTGTTCTGTCCTTATATATATGTTTTGTCTGTCTAGAGGTGTGCCTTAGTATATTTTGTAAGGAAGTGGGAAAAGGTAATGTCCAATGGAAATGGTCAGGAATTTCGGGGGTGTCTTGGAATCTATCGTTGCCGCCCTGTAGTGGGGTCGGTACGTCAAGTGCAAGTAACGGTACATCTGTAGATAAAGGATAAGGTAAAAATTTGTGTGTTCAGGTCGTCCTATTGTTGTCCACGTTTTTGTCAGTCCTTGGTCTGAAGAATAAGATTACAATGCGTCAAGTTGCTACTGAGCAGAAAAGGCCAGGCACTTTAAAACCCATTAAGCGTCTGGCGGTTTTCTCCTGATTGTAAAATTAATAGCATGCTACGAAACTAAATATTCTAATCCTCAAAAATAGCAGATGTGTCGGCTGTATCATAAACTTAGGATAATTCGTAATCCTAACAATTTCAGTTAGATCCAAAAATACATGAATTCATTCTATAAAGTAGGAACGGCACG